GGCCCTCCAGCCAGCAAAAAGCGCCCTGATCGCCCGGTTGACGATGACGAAAGCGCGCCGCTGACCACGAGGTCCTCGCCGCTCGCGCTGATGCCGGCCGCTGAGCCCCTCCGCCACCAGAGGGATTGGGAAGAGCAGGCGCGAGCCCCGCCCCGGTGGAAGGGCGGCCGACGTGGGCCGATACGTCTCGGCGGGAGGGGGCCCATTCCCCCCGCCGTGCCCAGGGGTCGTCATTGGGCCCCGGGGGGGGGCGCCGCTGCCCCGGCCGCGGCCGTCAGCGCCGCTGCCGCGGCCTCGGCCGCCCCGCCCCCGACCTCCGCCTCCTGCGCCCCCCTCGGGGGCCTCCTCCTCGCCTGAGCCAGCCTGGAGCGTCCGCGCCCGCTGAGCCCCAGCAGCGATGTCGGCGTCCTCTTTCGCCTTCATGGCCACGCACTGCCTCATCTCGGGCGCGATCGCGTCGACCGCCGAGGTCGTGCCCGCGAAGTAGCGCGCGAGCTGCCAGTTCGGGGCCTTGCCGGCGACCTGGTACGCGACGATAATGGTCTGCACCCGCGGCCACCTCCATGCTGGCGAGCGCCGGGAGGTTGACTTGATCGTAGGTCGCGCCAGGGAAAAGGATGTCGATCAGGCACCGCATCTCGTGCATCACGCGATCCGACTCCTCAATCCGGCGCTCTCGCGCCCAGACCGACAGCCGCAGGCGTGGATTGCCCCCGTGGCGCTCCATGCGGCGCATGACGGCGTGCGCCGTCGCGGGCCCCTGCAGCGGAAGTCAGGATCGACGAGGCTGTGGGACCCCTGGCAGCACTTGCGGGAAGTTCTTGTACCTGGTTCCCTGCTCGTCGTAGTCCAGCCAGAGCGTGCGGGCGTCGCCGCCGTCCCCAGCGCCCGCCGGCGTCGCCAGCTGGCTTGCGGCCGCGCCCAGGATGGTCTGCGCGTGGCCCGCATCCAGCTGGTCCTCGCCTGCGACCAACAGCTCCGCTCGGGCCATCCCGCACCAGTCAGCTGTGAACTTCTCGACGAGGTCCGCACGCAGGTGACCCGCCGGTGCCCATCTCCGCGGTCAACGAGGGTATCGTACTTGTCGACCCGCACGTCCCTGGCCTCGAGCTTGACCTCGGTGCCCACGGGCCCGATCGTCGAAGGCTCGGCCAGCACCCAGACGTGGTTCGCGATGGCCGGTCCAGGCCCGCGCGCCGGGAACACCTCGCCGCCCGCATCTCTGGCGGCGGCCGCACCGGCCACGGCGGGCAAGCGAGCCCGACGCCGCGGGAGGAAGTTCCCGCCGAAGAAATCGTCCAGCGCCGTCACCTCGCCGAACCTCACCATCACCTGCTCGGGCCGCTGCAGCTCCAAGCCTGCGGAGCGGACGATCTCCTCCGCTTGCGCATGGCGCTGCCGGATCACCGCCTTGAGCTCGTCGCGCGTCGGCGCCTGCTGAAAGCGGTAGGCCTGCGCGCCCAGGCGAGGCAGCCGCCCGTCCACCAGCACCGGGATCGCGCGCTCGAGGCCATCCGGATCGGACCCGTCGAGGTACTCGGGGTAGACGTCCTTGTCCGGAGTCTGCAGCACCCAGTGGGCGCCCTGAACTGGCCACACCGCCAGCCTCTCATGCCAAACGTTGTCGTCGCCGTACCACGCCAGCAGCAGGGACCCCGGCATCAGAGTCTTCCAGAACTCCGAGTCCGCGCCGGCGCGCGGGGCGATCGCCACGGCGCCTGCACCGCGAGCCGCACGCGAGGGCCCGCCGGCCGCACTCCCAGACGAGCCGCCCCACGAGCTGGCCCGCCAGGCCAGCGGCGAAGGCTTGGAGCACCGGGCTCCACTGCGGGCTCGCCTCCTCGGCGGCCGCGGGCGGCGCAGGCTCCGGCTCCGCCGGCGCCGGGCACCAGCACTCGCAGGGTGGGCAGACAGGCGCCGGCGGCTCCGGTGGCAGGAGCAGCCAGCAGTAGGTCAGTGCCTCGTGACCCACCCGCAGGAACAGCTTCTGGAGAGGTCCTCCGGCCATACGCTGCCAAGGCCAGAGGTCGCAGGCCCAACCCTTGAGCCAAAAAGACTCCGGAGCTTGCAAAGCCGCTATCCCACATAGTGGGATTGTTATTCTTTCAGACTACGCTGGCAGACGACAAGCCGCTCTCGCACCCCATTCCTGCGCACGCACTCCCATCATCACCACCATCAATCATCAAACACCATCGTCACCAGCATCACCATCACCGACATCATTATCATCATCGTCATCACCATCGTAGTCGTCATCGTCGTCATCACCTTCGTTATCATCACCATCACCATCACCATCATCATCACCATCATCATCATCATCATCATCATCATCAACATCATCATAAACATCATCACCATCATCATCACGATCGTCGCCATCCATCTAACCGAGATAGGTCGTTAGAACCCCCTCCCGATACTGGACACTAATGACCGTTCCGACGCCATTATTGACGAACTGAGGTCCCACCAACCGTGGAAATTACTCATTGCCCCGAGACCCCCCCCCCCAACAACGACGACGACGACGACTACGACTACGATTGCGACTACGACCATGACACGACTACGGCTACGGTTACGGCAAAGACTACGAGGAGTTAGCGACCAAAATCACGATTACGACTACGACTACGACTAAGACTACGACTACGGGGCTGAGTTGATTCCCCGCCAAGAGAAACAAAGGAAGACTGAAAACTAAAGACCTCTCCCGTCAATCATGCTGTCCGCCCCATATTTGTTCTCCGCCACGGCGATGCAGCACGATCCTTCGAGCAGGTCTACTAGAACCCAAGTTTGAAGGCCTGGTCATCTCCCTTCTCTTCTGCCTCCCTCTCCTCCTCCTGTGTTCCTTGCCACGCATCCTCGCCTTCTCCGTCTTCTCGCCAGCATCCTGTATTCCTCTTCCTGCTCTCCCCTCCATCGGTACCTACGACTGGGTAACTGTTTTAGATGGTCAGGCCAATTCTCCTCTACCTTCACGCCAGGGGGGCGCACGACTCGTAGGCGGGCAACGTTCTGATGACCAAGAACGCTGGTAACGACTCGGCATCCTCCGCCGCCGACTCATTCTCCACCTGGCCTATGTCCCTCCTCCTTCTCCGCATCCTCCCTCGCCTTCTTCCGCCCCTTCCTCGGGTTCATCCGCATGCTCTTCCTCGTCCTCGTCCAACTCTTCGTGAACGACCTGCTCTTCTTCCCCCTCGTCCTCCTAGCTTGTCCGAGTCCTTGTCATCGTTCTTAGCTTCATCATCGTCCTTGTCCACGTCATCATTATATAATCCTCGTCATCGACGTCCTTCCGTATCCTCCTCCACCCCCTTCCTCCTGTCTCCCCCTCTCCCTCCTTTCCTCCGCAATACACCCTGAAGCAACTGAAAACCAACGCAAAAAGTTGGACACGTGGTTCATGCTCTTACTCGCATTTTTCCCTCCTCCTCCTCCTCCTCCTCCTCCGTCGCATGTTCCTACTCTTGCGCCTCCGAACTATAAGCCAGATACCTCCGAAAGCCTATGACGCGATAAAGGGCCATCCAGAAACGTCCGAAACCCTCCCGAGATATCCGAAATTGTCTTCCTTCCTTCTACCGCGTCCCTCTTTCCCCTCTTCCTCCTCCACCTCCTCATCCTTCTCCTCGCTGCGTCTGGCCACTCGAAGGGGGGTTGGGCGACAAAAGGAAGTCGAGGCCAGCGGCGTGCAACAACATTGGTGCCGTGCATCAAACGGAAGAGGCGCGGGCCCAACACTGGAGGAGGACATCGGAAATTCCCCCCGTGTTCTTTAGTTGCATCCTGCGATATTCGAAAGTGTCTGGAGGTTCTGGGAGGTTACAGGAAGAGGAGGGGGGAGGGAGAAGGGAGGGGGGACAGCCTGGGCGCTCTCACGCCGCATCTGGCATCCCACCAATGAATGCACCTGAATCCGTCGATCTGGGGGGTCCTAGACGGCATTGGTACCTATATGGCAGTTGCAGGACTTGACCGATCGTTTGCTGCGCCTAGCGGGGCGTTGAGCACTGGAGGTGGGGGATGCGGGCGAGCATGAAGAGAGAGAAGGAGACGAAGAGCAAACAACAAGCGAAGAAGGACAAAAGGAAGAGAAGGAGGAGGAGGAGGAGGAGGAGGAGAAGAAAGCAGCCGGAGCACGATGAGGAACTAGGAGGATCAGGGGAAGGCGGACGAAGGGAAAGGAAGGGGCAATGGCGAGGAAGGAATCGGATCTAGAAATGTGAACCGCGTCAGGGGTAGACAGCCATTCCGAACGACGTGAGCGAAACACCGATTCCGAAATGTGGCAGAGGGAACACCACTTTGCAGGACATGGGCAGAGCGCCAACGCCAACGCCTACATTCCTGCGTACAGAATGAATACGCGAGGAGGGCGGGAGGGAGGCTCGGAGTAACAATGGGGTGCAGGACATCAGCACACATCATGTGGAGCGGGGAGGGAGGACGAAATGACTGAGGGAGCGAGGGGGGTCAGGAAGAGCAGATCAGGACGAGGAGGTAGAAGCGAAGGAATAAGAAGAGGAAAACCACAAAAATGGTGGGGGGAAGGACGGAATGAGACGAACCGGGGAATGGAATGGAATGGAATGCCCATTCGGGGAGAGTGCACAGCACTAAATACTGAGCTCAGGCTCAGATTAATGGCCTCGAGCTGAGACCTCCTTATTACGGATTCTCTCCATGAGAGCGGCCAACCGCAGCTCATATGGAGGGGCGGCCCCTGATGCCGAGGGAAACCTTACCACCGTAGAGTCAGGAATCGCTAGACTAAGATGGCGGGGACCTTCCGACGGCCTCTTAGAGACCAGCCGAGCAAGGGGAACAGTTCTGTCCAGGAACCCCTGGCACTTCCGATTCGAGGATGCACCCTGGAAAAAGCGGTGGAAAGACGAACCGGGGAGGACGACAGGGATGGAGAGGAGGAGGAGGAGGAGGATAACAAAAGGTGTGCCACGAGGGCTAGACGCTGGCGGCGCCAGGGCCTGTTTCTGGGGCCTCCCCTCTGCCTCCTCTAGCTCCACGACGTAGTGACCGTCGATTCTGTCGAACCTCGAGGAATAGGATGAGGAGCTAGAACGCAGGAGATGAGGCCGATGAGTTATAGAAGTGGATGTAAAGGGCGGCAGCAGTAATAACCAAGAGAAATGGTGAGGGAATAAGTGAACGAGCAGAGACATCTCAGCAGGAAGGCGAGTGGGAGGAGAAACAGGGAACAAGGACAGGATGAGGCGCAACAAAAGCATGACGAGGAGGAACAAGATCTGGGGACCGGGGGCAATAACACAGGGTACAAGTATGGGCGGTTGCGGTTTCTTCTCACGTCCTCCTCCTTTTGTTTCTCCTAATTTCTCCTTCCTCCTATTGAATGCTCTCCCCCGCCCTCCACCCCGAGAACCCCACAAAATCCCCCGCGACAGACAAGACCCTTGGAAACATTCGAACACGTTCGGGCAGGTTCCCGTTCTGCAGCGCTCGCGCTTACGGGACATTCTCTTCGCCCGTGGTGCTGTACATCTGCCGAGATGTTGCCGGGAGGGCGGCCGTGGGCGCCCCGTGGGCACCCCTCGCGCTGGTCTGCCGAGGTTTCACCCAGTGGGCGGTCGTGGGCGCCTCGTGGGCGTTTGGTGCAGGTTGCGCAGCAGAGATTGCATCACGTGTGCGTTGCAACCATTATCCTCTTGTCCTATGAGAGAGCTCCAGGTGATGAAAGCTGCAAGCTTCCGAACTGATGAGAAGGGGACCTCACCACGCACGCACAGGCCGAATCGAAGAATGAGAACGGGAGGAAGACACGAGGGAGGAGACGTAATACTGAATGTGCCCTCATGTTTAATGGCGACCCCAACCGCCGACTGCGGGTGTTTTCGACTGGACCAAAAGACAGCAAAAACTGCCATCCTCGATGAGGGGTGGGTCCGAATAGCCCCCAGGGGGTGTATCCCAGAGTTTCGCCTGTTGTCTGAGCGGCCAAACTCTTCGGGCGGAAACTGTGGATCGGGGGAGAAACATCGCCTGCGAATGTCCGCGGACCTTTGCTCAAATCGCCTGTCATTGCGGAAGCGGAATCCCTTACCACCGACCATGCCCGGGGGAACTGTCTGTCCGGCAATGCCCGCCCAGGACTGGCTCGGGAAAGCAGGACAGCACACATCGCCTTGAAGACGGCAGGGGCGCGGAACGTCCCTGAAGACCACCGAATATTTTCTCGTTTCCCAATGAGGCTTGCCAAAGGGGTTCTTGCTTGGTTAAAAATTGGCGCCTCGGGGGGTTACTTTGCCCATTGCTCAGAGGTCCCCCAGTTTCCCAGCCCCCGGTGCCTCGCATTCTCACGTCGCCAGTTCCTCGAGGTTCCCTAAGTTCCTCGCCCCTGGTGCCCCGCGCGTCGCCCGTTCCCCCCCGGGTCCCCCGTGTGCCCCGCGCTCCCAGCCCCAACTGCCCCATGCCAAGCAATGCCAAGCAATGCCAAGCAATGCCAAGCACTTCGCACGTGCAATAAGAAAGCTTCCCCTACTTTGGGTCGCGCCGGGTCCATAGCAGCAGTTGTCAGCGATAGCTCTCGGCGCCTTCTCTCCCAGGCCGCGGTTCTCTACGCGATTTTTCTGAATGCGGGTCGGCTTACGTGGCGTTCTGGGTTTCTCCGGCGGCTATTTTACTCGCGCCGAACTCGCTTGCGAGGTTGGTGGATCGGCGCCGACTGCAACCTGCGACTGCTGCCACCAAGAGGAAGTGACACTGCTGCAATTGCCAGTGCCGCCCCGCACAAAGAACAGCGGCGGCATTGGAGCAGCGGCGGCATCTAGCAGCGAACGCGACTCCTTGGAGCGAGGCCCGCGAGAGAAGCCTTTGCGACGACCGCCAAATTTGAAGGATCAATGCCCCCCTGACGGCGCCCCCTACTTCGCCTGCCTCGCTCAGGGCGATCGGGCGGCTCGTGGACGAGGCGAAACGTGAGGCAAGTCGATACAAACATGTGAAAATTAAGCATGCGCGCAAACTGATGGCCGCGCGCGCCCAACAGGGAAAATAAGACGAGCTGGAAAAGGAGAGCGCGCGACCCTCGAAGTCCAATCGAGAAGAAAAAGGCAGTTGGATATAATCCCCGATCATATCGGGCTCTCCTGGGCACCCCATTCGGAAGCAAAACATCGCGTGGCATCCGCCCGCTCGCGTTCCACCCGCCCGCCGCGAACTTCGACGCCTTGACAGCCCATGTTGGGGCGTGCCTGCGTGCGTGCGCGCGCGCGTGTGTGTGTGTGTGTGTATGTATGTGTGTGTGAGTGTGAGTGTGTGTGTGTGTGTGCGTGCGTGCGTGCGTGCGTGCGTGCGTGCGTGCGTGCGTGCGGGTGTGGGTGTGGGTGTGGGTGTGGGTGTGGGTGTGGGTCAAGCTAGCCAGCTCGAGCGAGTCAAGCATGGCATGCCCCTTCCCACCCGCCCTCCCACAACATAAGAAACAGTGATGGCACAACTGGGGGCTGCGCGGGCATTTCAGTGCGAGTGGAGAAAACCCCAGGACACCGCATTGACGTCCGCGCGGGATGCGCGCCGCGTCCCATTCCCGCCACGCATTTCGCATCGTCGACGACAAGACTGGCCATGTTGAAAGGAACAACGGACACGTTCCGCCCTCCCACAACATAAGAAACAATGCTGGCGCAACTGGGTGCTGGCGCGTAGTGGTAGTAGTAGTAGTAGTAGTAGTAGTAGTAGTAGTAGTAGTAGTAGTAGTAGTAGTAGTAGTAGTAGTAGTAGTAGTAGTAGTAGTAGTAGTAGTAGTAGTAGTAGTAGTAGTAGTAGTAGTAGTAGTAGTAGTAGTAGTAGTAGTAGTAGTAGTAGTAGTAGTAGTAGTAGTAGTAGTAGTAGTAGTAGTAGTAGTAGTAGTAGTAGTAGTAGTAGTAGTAGTAGTAGTAGTAGTAGTAGGTAGTAGTAGTAGTAGTATAGTAGTAGTAGTAGTAGTAGTAGTAGTAGTAGTAGTAGTAGTAGTAGTAGTAGTAGTAGTAGTAGTAGTAGTAGTAGTAGTAGTAGTAGTAGTTGTAGTAGTAGTAGTAGTAGTAGTAGTAGTAGTAGTAGTAGTAGTAGTAGCAGTAGTAGTAGTAGTAGTAGAGTGGTAGTGGTAGTGGTCCTGGGCACGTCGGTCCCAGCGATGGTTTTCTTCTTCGGCGCTGACTTCCAGGTCCCAGAGCGCCCCAGGAACGCCCCAAGAGAGCCGAGACGTCCCCGAGACGATCCGAGGGGCCCTGAGTCGCCGAAAGATCGTTCCAAGGCGCCCAAAATGGCCTCCAGACGGCCGAAGACGCCGCCAAGAAACCGCGGGGAGCCTCAGGAGTCGCTCCAAGAGCCTGAACAAGCAAAAACCTCCCAGCCATTCGTCACCCCAGGGCCTCCTGGAACGCCCCGGCGCCGAATGAATTGGCGAGCTAAAAACGTGCACCGAGCCAAAGCGGGAGCGCAACTTTGAGAAAATTTCGCTCGGCGCCCAAGCGGGAGAGTCATTTCATTCACTTCGAGCGGGGGGGGAGGGGGGTGTGCCGCGCCTAACTATTGCCATGCATTTTTGCGGGGTGGACGACAAGAACAGCTATGCAGGCAGGGAAAATCAGCATGGCATTGTTTCTGACAAGTGAGGTGGCCCCTCCCGCCTTGGGGTTGCCCCAGAAGTCCGCGCGCGATGTGCGCCGCGCCCCATTCCTGCCACGCATTTCGCATCGTCGACGACAAGACAAGCCATGATGAAAGGAAAAACGGCAACTCTGTATTGCTTTTTACAGTCAGGATGGGAGGGCCCGCAGCCCGCATGGACGCCCGCGCGCGATGTGCGCCGCGTCCCACTCCTGCCACCTATTTCGCATCGTCGGCGACAAGGCGGGCCATGCTGAGAGGAAAAAACGGAGACGTTGTATTGTTTTTTTGCAGTCAGGGTGGGCGGGCCCGGATTGACGGCCGCGCGCGATGTGCGCCGCGTCCCATATGTGCGCCGCGTCCCACTCCTGCCACATATTTCGCACCGTCGGCGACAAGGCAGGCCATGCTGAGAGGAAAAAACGGAAACTTTGTATTGATTATTTAAAGTCAGGATGGGCGGGCCCGGATTGACGGCCGCGCGCGATGTGCGCCGCGTCCCATATGTGCGCCGCGTCCCACTCCTGCCACATATTTCGCGCCGTCGGCTACAAGGCAGGCCATGCTGAGAGGAAAAAACGGACACTTTGTATTGATTTTTCATAATCAAGATGGGCGGGCCCGGATTGACGGCCGCGCGCGATGTGCGCCGCGTCCCATATGTGCGCCTCGTCCCGCTCCTGCCACATATTTCGCACCGTCGGCGACAAGGCAGGCCATGCTGAGAGGAAACAAACGGAGACTTTGTATTAATTGACAGTCAGGATGGGCGGGCCCAGATTGACTGCCGCGCGCGATGTGCGCCGCGTCCCATTCCTGCGACGCTTTTCGCATCGTCGACGACAAGAAAGACGATGTTGAAAAGAAAAACGGCCATGTTGTATTGATTCTTTATAATCCGGATGGGAGGTCCTGGATTGGGTCGCTATCGGCCAGAATACGAGACAGGTGGGGGTATATAATAACAAGGAACAAGGATGTGGGCGTGTGTGTGTGTGTGTGTGTGAGCGTGTGCGTGTGCGTGTGCGTGTGCGTGTGTTTGTGTGTTTGTGTGTTCGTGTGCGTGTGCGTGCAACATGCACCCACCCGCCCGATGATCGGGCGTGCTCGTCGCAATGTCTCGCCATGTACACCGCGCACTCGCCTACATATTGCGCTTGGGAGTGCGTTCGGAGGCTGCGCTTTCTCCAACACTCCGAGCTTCCCAGCATGGCGGGCCTCCTGCCGTGCTGTAACAGCCTGGCCTCCACTTCCTCGGCTGTGCCGGTAGCGTCATTCGGCAACACTCGGGGAATGAGTGCATTGTAGGCCTTCTGGGGGACGGAGTCTGGTCTGTCATCCGCGTCAAACTCTGCATTGAGAAATTTGAGCGCTTGGTCAGAACTTTCAACCTCTAGCTCCCCAAGCAGCGCAAATCTAGGGTCATGCACCACGCGCGCGTTCTCCTTGATCGCATTATAGGCACGCCCGCGAACAGCTGCGATGCGTGGGGGCACTGGGCCAGCCCTGTGGGCTTCAGTGACCTGCTTTCGGACTTCGTCACTCGTTCCAACACGAGTGTTCTCCCAATGTTGTTGAACAAAATACAGAGGCCCTCCATCGATAATGGATTTGGCGCGACTGACATTCCTAATTCGACCCGAAGTGTCGTGCTCCTCAGGGCGGAGCTGTTTATGATCAGGCGTCGGCGGAAAAGTCACGCGCAAAAATAAATTCGCGACTCCTGGGCTATTATCAGCATTCACGTCTTCCGCGATTAGCAAGTAAGACTTCTCCCCATAATAAGGGATCCTCAATCCATTGTCCTGCGGTTCCGCAGGTCGCGCGTCACTTTCCCATTTGTTTTCGCCGCGGCGGACCCTTCATTGCCCCCGGCTGTACCGGCCAACGTCGCAGGGTCAACAATCATTCGGACATGTGGAACTTCTCCTGTAGGAATATAATCCGAATAGCGAGCCTGAAGGAAGTTACGTAGACAATCGGCCTAATTGTTATAAGGCAACAAGTACTCAGAGGATTCATTCCCCTTCTCATCTGCTTGTTTTAGAGCGCGAAGTGCCCAGCTTGTCACGTCATCCCTCGAAAAGGTCGCTTCTTCAACAGTGAGCCCCCTAACGTTGTCAAGCTGGAGTCCGCCGGAGCGGGCTTGCCAGAGCATTGCGGAGTTCGCTGCGTCGTGGCAAGTGTGCTCGGCTCGATTGCGCCACAAAATGCACGCCCAAAAGGTCTCTTACCAGTTTAACAACCACTGACGCAGGCTCGCTGTCCGGAAAGTCATTTGGAGGCAACAACAAATCAACATTAGACTTTTCCCCTTCTCCGTCGCCCTCACCAAGCCTATCCGGCCGGGAGGACTGCCGGTCGCTCACTGTCGTATCTGCAGGAGGGGGGTCTGGCAAGTCAAGCGAAAAAGTTCTAGGACCCTCCGGGGCGCCGACTTCAATGATCTTCGGGCTAGCTCCGGCTTTGCCGGGCTGCTCTCGTCATGCCTCTGCTGGAGTGCCAGGTGCCTTTTTGCCATGTTGGAGATCGAAACGCGGGGGGTCCTTTGGAGAAGGCGTTGAAGGTACAGTCAGATTCTTCAAGCTTCCGGCACCCGGCGCAGCCGCCGCTGGCCGTTTGGGAGGCGGAGGTCTCGGTACCTGAGGATCTCCAAAAGGCGGAGGAGGCTTGGTTGCACCGGAGGCGGACCCGCCCGCCGGCTGTGCCGGTGGCTTGACCTTGGTCTCTTCCCGGCCATGAGCCGCGCGCCTTCTATCCTCATTTGCTCCGTCGAAGAACGGGCGTTCGGAAGCGAGTTTGCAACCTCTGCTCTCACAGTAGTCCCATGCGTTTTCCATCGAAGGATCATGCTCGAGGTGCGGCGAATAATTGCCCTGCCATTCGATTGGCGAAAGATCGGGAACCCACTGGCATTGCTGATTCCTGACTTTCTCTATTATTTCGGCTCACACTTTGCTCCTCAACATTGATGTCTCTGTCGGCAGCTTCGCCTTCTCCCAACAAATGTCGCAATATTGTCCAAGCGCCACGCCCGTGCGCATGGTGCGCGGCGGGGTGCCAATGGTAAATGCGAATCTCAGTCATTACCCCAGTGCGACCCTACCTAGAAGTTGGAGCCCCTAGGAAAGCAACATTAGTTGCTATGATATGCTATGATATGCGATGCTATGCTGCGCTATGATATGCTATGGTATGTTATGCTATGCTGCGCTATGCTGTGATAAGATATGCAATGCTGTGATATGCTAAGCTGCGCTATGCTATGCCGTGCTATGATATGCAATGATATGGTATGATATGTTATGCTGCGCCATGAAATGCTATGATATGATATGCTTAACTATGTTATGGTATGCTATGCTATGATAATACAGCGCTGCGCTATGCTAAGCTGAGCTAACCCTCTAGGCAGAGCCTAGGTAGGGAATTCCACATGTTAATGATATGCTATGCTGCGCTATGCTATCCTACGCTATGCTATGCTGTGATATGATAAAGCCCAGCGAAGCTCAGATGCTGATAAGCTAAGCTAAGATGAAATAAATTAAGCTAAGATGAGATAAGCAACGCTAAGCTAAGGAGACGCAGCTGGGGGAACCGCGGGGCGGATGCCGGGGGAACCGCCCGGGGCGCGTTGCGCTGCC